GGGGGAAGGCTCCTGTTGTCTCTTAAAAGCGTTGGTCTGCTGCTCCCCCCGTAGTGGCTCTGCTCTTGTACCCCTCTTCTTCCCCTGAAGCAAACGCAATCTGCTGTTCGGAGGAGGCAGGAAGGTTGCGTATTTCCTCCTTTCTGATTCCCCTGCACGTTGCTGAGTTCACCTCTCCCCAGCCCATGCTGCCAGCCCTGCTGTTCCACCTGCAGGCCTGCAGCCCTCTACCTCCCCTGGTCCCAAATAGCTGCTATTTTTCTCCCTTGTCTTTCAGCCTTGAGCTTGCACTGGGCTCAGTCTGTTCAGTCCAGGCCTTTGGCCTGCCTCCCTCAAGCGGCGGCTATTCCCTCCTGGTGCCTTTGCAGCTCCCCTGACTGCGCCCAGCTGCTCCCCCCGGCCGTTTTCTCATTCATTCCAGGGCGACTCCTTTCAATTAGACTTCATTTTATGGGGATTTAGGATGTGCAGAGTTACCTGCCAGCGATCTAGCTGGGACCAACAAACTCCCCATCCTCCTGTGACTAAGCTTCTTTGGATCATGCCCAGGAGCTGACTCTGGCTATTTAGCTGAGTAACAAACAGCAGAGCAACGCTGAAGCTGAAATGCGCAGGTTAAAGGGGAAAAAAAAAAAAAAAAGAACATGCATGCATGGAGTGAAGGCCTTAACTGTGCTACCATTCAGGTTGCTTAAATGAATCAAGTGTGGGTCGTGTTTAAAAGCGAGGCATGGGTGCCCTGAGAAAGGAGCTCCCCAGGGCAGGAGGGGAGAAGGAACGTGCTTTGTACCCTGTCGCGGGGAGCAGGCGAGGGGCCGAGACCCTGACTGAGCGTCTGCGTTTCCAGCCAGCCCCGGCTCCACCTTAGCCAGCAACAGGCCCTCTCATGCCAGGTGAAGGAGCTGCCTCTTTGCCCCAGGGAGGCATCCCACTACGTGCCTCTTTCATGTTCTCCCTGCTTCTGTTCGGCACCTCCCCAGGAGCGAACGCAGCTCTGCTGGCACTCCCCGAGCCGGAGGGGGGACCCAGGACCCACACCGTGCCCACGTCTTTCTGTCTTGCAGACGCATCAGCCAGAGGAACTGATATTCCCTTCGTATCTTCCGGATTCATTAGTGCAAATGTCTGATTTTGTAACTGATTAGGAGCCTGAATAAGAGGCGTAGGCACAGGAAAGAAGAGATGGCACGCAAAGAAGCAAAGCGGCACGTAGGGGTAGGGAAGGGCTGAGCTGCAACGGAAGAATGTGCTGCAAGTGGGAGATGGGAGGAGTAAAGACATGCAGACCCAGAAAAAAGAGAAAACTGGCTGCAGAAACCTTGGTAAAAGCACAGAGTTGTTCCTTGTGTGTCCTCCTGGCACGCTTTCCCAGCTGAGCCTGTTTGTGCCCAGCAGGCCTTGCAGGGTGCCAGTGCTCCTAGCGGTATCTCTTCCCTCTTGGCCTTTGTTACTTCTGCTGGACTGATTTTCTGTCATAGGGCTATCAGCCAGCATGGTGAGGAAGAGGTCTCTGTCTAGCAGCAGTTCCCCCTCGCCAGCACAGTATCTCCGGCTGGAGGCAACGGAAAGTCTTTGGTTTGTAACCTGCCCTTTCTCAGCTGGGCGCAAGTGAGAGCCAGAGGCAGCAGCACCGCTCTCTGGGCTGGCAGCTGATAAGCGTTGCTGCTTGTCTGAGCTGTCTTTGGTGCCATTCCCATGCCTCAGAATGAACTTCCTGCCCTCCTCCTTCCCAGCACTCGCACACCGCGGCCCTGCCTGAAACTTGCTGAGCCAGGCTCCTTCAGCTGAACCCAGGCAGCCCTTCCTGCCCGGCGCTGCGCTGAGCTGGGTTCGACGCGGGCTGCCCAAACACAGTGCTCGCTAGCACACCTGCCTGTCGGCTGCCAAACAGCCTGAACATCTTCCAGGGGCGTGAGGACCAAGGCACTGACAAAATGTCTCTCTAGCCCAGGGTCTGTTGCTAGCAGTGGATGGGCAGGAAGGGATCAGATGAACCAGACTGGTGAGAAAACCTTTGGTTTATCTTCCAGCTTCTAGAAATTAGCCACTAAAAGACTTCCTAAGCCCAAGGTTACGTCCAGACCATAGTGCTTAACAAATGGACCTATTGGCCAGGTCTCTTAGCACATCCGGGGTGCTGGGAAGGGAAAGGCACTGCTCTGCCCCTTGGCTGGGCCGCTTTGTGAGGGGAGCTGGATGGGGACCAGCCGCTGACTTCCCCTTTGATGCAGCAGGGACTGTTTCTGCTGTGCTCCTGCAGATGAGCCAACAGGCTAAGCAGTGGCGGTGTCCCAACTGCCTGCCCTGCTCCCCTGGACAGTCTGAAGTGTCCGTTCCTAAGTGCTTACAGTTCATGACTCGTGTGTTGTCACCTAAGAGCTGTGATCCTTTAAATCAGTCTTTGCAGCTGCTGGAACAATATCTGTTTGGGTTCCTGAGTCAAAATCAGGAATTGCTGGTTGTTGTAGCGAGAGGGGATGGAGTTTGTTTCTGTCATTCTGTACTTCTCTTTCCAGCCACTTAGTCCAGGCCCTTTCTGTTGTGCAGGAAGATGGGGATGAGCCGTCAGGGGACTCTGTGAGCAGGGAAGTTTCAGAGGAGCAGGAGCTGTGGGATGCTGGGATCCGTGCTTCAGTAGTTTGACGCGTGTGCTCATGCAGAGAGGTTGTAGCCAAGCGTGATGCCAGCTACCCTTGCAGCTTCAACTACATCGCCTGGCAGCGAGTCAGAGGAGGGGGGCACAAGCCATGATGACTGATGGGGAGGAGGGAGTGAGTATCAGAGGGAAGTGAACTGAGCCACTGTAGAAAACATCCATGGGGGGTTTCAGTTGAAGCTGGACAGAAACTGATGGTGGGGAGCGGTGATCTTTCTTTCCTGGCAATGACTTCTTCCTCAGAAACGGTGGGAGTCCCTCGCTACAGCACCTGAGGAGTGCAAAGCATCCTCAATAAAACTGCAAGACTCTGGTCTGCTGCTAATGCTTTGCTTCCTTAGCGAGCTGACTGGCCTTCCTGGGCGACTCTGTGTTCCCCAGCATTTAGCCTGTGCTCTGTGTTTGGACTGATAACCTGAGCCAAAATGTCAGATCACTTCTCCATAGGTGTGCTGTCTGATTGCAAGACCTTCTGCTGAAATTCGGGACTTGGCAATTAAACGTGAACTCTTGCACTGAGAGACTTGTCCTTTGGACGCACGCCAGGGAGCAGGGATGGAAGTGAGTCCGAAGCGGGTGTGTGTGACAGCAGCCTGATGTGTACTGCCCTCTTTGAACACTGCTCCACTTGCTCCCCTCTTCTGAGGAGGAGGTTCTAAATGGCTGTGAAGATACTGTTTGATTACAGACAGGCTAGTGACGATTGCATACTGATTTCCCAGCTGGTGAGGTTTCTTTTGTAGACAGAAGCGTGGCGGCAAAAGATGGAGCTAAAAGGAGCTATGGAGAACATGCCTCAGGTCTGACCGATCACGTTGTTGTGGAGCTGAAAATGACAACGAGCTCTCTGTGCAGTGGGACGTTCTCAGCTCAGCGGCCGGGCCGGGCAGTCGCCGGGGTGAATTCCCCAGCTCTGCCGCGGGTAGTGGTGAGGCTGGCCCTGGGCAGAGCCGGCACCTGGGTCACCATCTTGCTCGCTCTAAGTCTGCACTAAGTCTGGAGTTGTGGGCTGAGACCCAAGAGATGGAACTAGTGCTCTTCTGCCTTGCACCAGGGAGGCTCCAGATATATTATTGATTAGAAATGCAAGCGCATCCCTGCAGGGCAGCCTGCCAGTTGCCTTTGGAGCAGTTGGCAGGAAGCCATGCCATTACTCAACACTGTTTTTCCCCTTGGGTTAGCAGCCCTGCCTCAGAAGTCCGTCGCTTTTGGGGAGGAATCACTGAGAAGGTCACAGCAGAGCAGATCTCCTCCAGGCTGATTTCATGGCTCTCAGTGCAAGGTGAAGAAAGACTTTAATTTGCCTGGTAGCTGGCATTTTTATAGTGATGAACAAAAGGGTGGAGTCTGTGTTTGCCTCATTCCCTTTCTCCAGCACTGCTAGTCCTGTCAGTGACCTTTGCTGTGTCCGCTGCTCGGCTGCCGACCTGTTTTTCAAGGGGCAGAGCTCATCTGATGACATTGTTACGGTCTTTGGAAGAGTGACAGCCATTAGACTTTGTTTTAGGCTGAAACTATAGTCTCTGTAAGTGATTGCAGAAGGCAAAACCCTGTAAATAGTTGCATCACAGCTTTGCACCTACATATTTTTCACACCTTTGGTTTTGGCTTCCTGCTCTGGCTAAGAGTCGAGCCAAGTGTGCTGTACCTGAGGTTGAGCTGTCAGAGAGAGATAAGGTTGTTTCTGCGTGCACGGGTTATCCCAGCAGCACCCCTTGTGATGAGACTGGGCATGGGCGAGAGGCGTGGTGGTAAGGAGCAGTGCCTGCGTTTAAAATAAAACCCTTTGAGGGGTACCCTGGGAGAATGCTCTTGGTGATTTCCAGGCCTTTTCACATGTGTGATAAGTTGTAATCCACAGGGAAAACCGCACAACGTCAGAGGGACTGCCTGGATATTCCTTGCCTTTTCCAGGGCACCTCTAGGCAAAGACTAGTTGTGGGAAACACCCTCCTCACAGTGTAATTCTTTGCGTGCGTGTGTGTGTGTGTGTGTGTGTGTGTGTGTGTGTGTGTTGGAATGGCAATAAACAATAAGAGGTTTGCCATCAAACCCAGTTTGCAGCCTTACTGCTGGAGATTGCCTCTGTTGCCTAAGGTGAGATATGTTAGAGATGCCAGATTTCCAGGTGATCTGAAACACGTTTCACTGTCCCTGCTCCCAGATCACAAATGGTGTCTGGAAATCCTGGAGCCTCCTTTAAGCACGTGGGTCCCTTCCAGCATCTTTCCAAGTGACTCCCAGTGCAGAGCAGGAAGGTCAGGCGCTGGAAGCCTGCCTGCCACCGGGCCGCTCTCCTGGTTTGCAGGGCAGCAACGGCAGTGGGATTAGCTTTATAGAAAGGGCACGCTGCGAAAGTCTGGCAGAGATGCCCTGAGCTCCAGGGGAAGTAACAGACGCCTTGTGCCTCCTCGGGCGTGAAAGACGAGACAGGATGAGAGGTTGCAGGACAGATCAGGCCAGACAGAGCAAGCCTGGGAGCGGTGGCCGGCCAGGATGATTTGTCAGGTCTTTTCTATCTCCCTGTTTCCTGTGACAGTTCAGAGAGAGGCTGTTACACAGCCCACAGGGTGGGAACGCAGCGAAACATCAATGATACCTCACATGAGCTCCAGCTACCGTTTACCCACATGCTCTGTTTACCCGTTTGTCTGCCCCCGGCTGTGGTTGCCGGAGGCGAGCGAACCACTGCTGGCCCTTACAGCTCTGTGTGCAAAGCTCCCCAGGCAGCGAGGCATCAGGAGGGATTAGCCAGGACTAAAGTTAGGAAAATAGTTGTCTAGGGCTGTGCGGTGTGGTAGGGACAAAGCTGCCCCTTGTCTGCCAGACGGGGCTGTGAATGGGAGGAGGCCAGGAGCTGTGCTCTCTGCGGCTCTGCCAGAGGAGGGGAAACCTGTTCAGCTGCTCCCTTTTTTCTTTTTTTTTTCCCCTTCTTTTTTTTTCCCCCCTCCCTTGCCCTCCCATTTTTAAAAGGGACTGAGTCAGTTATTTAATGGGAGCTAAATCCAGGCAATGTGTGGCCTGGCCTCTTCCTGAAGCCGGTTTTTCCAAAGATGCTGAGCTCCGCTCACAGCACCTCTAGGCCAATGCAGACCCGAGCTCCCCGCCCAGCACCCTTTGGTGTCGCAGTCCAGGCTGGTGCTGCCCCTCCAGCTGGCGTGGGCTCCGGTCCTGCCCTTGCCTCAGCACTGCACAAAAAGAGGTGGTGGTGTTTGCTTGGCATGTACAGACAAACACAGCACCCTAAGGGGGATAGTAAGCTCCTGTCTGTTCCTGTACCTATGGGATGGCTGGATTTGAACGCAAGTGGCCTGTGGGTTAAATCTTTCCTCGCATGCCCTCCTTTAATGCTTCTTTCCTCCCTCTCTCTCTCTGTCTGTCTCCTGGCCCTGCAGGATTCCTACAGAAAGCAAGTCGTCATTGATGGAGAGACCTGTTTGTTAGACATCTTGGACACAGCAGGGCAAGAGGAGTACAGTGCCATGAGAGACCAGTACATGAGAACAGGGGAGGGATTCCTGTGCGTCTTCGCCATTAACAATACAAAGTCTTTTGAAGATATTCACCAGTACAGGTCAGTATCCTGGGCAGGCCCCTGCTCTCTTGCCCCGTGCGAGGAGGAGGCCTTGCCACTGCCCCGTCCTGCCCTCCCTTTTAGATCAGGCCTCTGCAGTGGAAGCACTGGCTGCCAGCAAAGACAATTAGCTCAAGTGGCCATTCCCCAGGGAAGAGACGGAGCAGACGGCTAATGTCAGTGACTCCGATAAAAACTATCCGAAGGGATTGCTTGTAGCCCTTGGGGACTCAGTAATGTAATGTTTAAGTGTTTATGGTGACTAAAGAGAGAGCTGATCCTTTACGACCCCCTCCCTTCCCTCTCTAATTAATGGAATTGCTTTGTTAGTGAAATCGATCTCGGCAGCTTCTCCTGTGCCGGGGAGCTGGGAGAGGAGGCTGGGAAGGATCAGGAGGGCTGCTTCACCTGCTTGCAGGCATTGTGCCGAGGCCCTGTTAGGCTGGGTGCGTGCACACAGGGAGAGGCAGTCCGAGCTCATAAGAGCTCAGGGTCTGAGCTGACCAGAGCAAACACCAAACAGGAGGTTTGACAGGAGTCGGAGTCCTGGAGAGGTGACTTGCCCAAGGGGATGTGCAGCACAGTGGCAGAGCAAGGAGCAGATCCCAGCATGGCCCAGTCCTGTGCTTCCTGCTTTAACTACGCCCAGGTTCCCCGCGTCGCTTCTTGCCTTTGATTCTTTTCCCCGCTAAGCTGAAGAGCCAAGGAGAACTTACCAAATGCAGTGGAGGTATTCTCTGGTCACCACCCAGGCAGCGAGTGCGAGCTCAGGGAGGTGCGAGCTCAGGGAGGTATCTGTCACTGTGTCCTGCTGCCATATGCCTTCTCTCGAGGACTTGTCTGAGACAGGAGGGACTTGTAGAGCCTGCGATCTGTCTGCTCCAAGGAACGAGGCAGCGCTCTTTGAAAGTGTCTCCCAGGCTGCAAGGCAGCTGGTCCTTGTCTGCTGGCTACCAAAGAAGCCGTGTGCCCTGGCCCCTCATCAGTTAAAGACTGTCTTTGGAGGAGGCTTTCTGTGGAAAGGTGGTGGAGCAGAAGACAAAAAGCCTCTTCAGCAAATGCTTTGAGTATGGGGAGGAAAGGCAGCGAGGGCTTGTGCCTTGCTCCGTTGGCCTTTCTAGAGCGTGCAGCTGCGTGCCGTCCCAGGGCGTGGTGAACAGCAGCTTCAGCTGCAAGAGGGAAAGGGGGCTTGCTCTGTGGGGTGATGTTAGCAGTCCTTAGTGGCATGTCCCACAGCTCCATGGCAAGAGCTGGGGTATAAGTGGCCCTACAGAGTGGGGCTGTGCAGGCAGTAGATTTCTCAGAGCCCTTCCTTTGCCCCTTTGGAGACTAACCCACACGGAGAGGGCTTGAGATGCATTTTGATGGGAAAGAGCAAATGGCTACAGCTAACTAGCAGGAAGACTGCAAAGAACGAGGCCATTGCATAGACCTCCCACCTGCCAGCAGCTCTGCAAGTGCTCTGCAAAGGCAACCTAGCCTTGATTTGCAGCAACCCCTGCTATTCCAGTGGTGACGCTGCATCAGGCCATGGCTCGTGCCCAGAGCCAGCCTGAGGGGCTTTTGACAACAATGTAGGAAGTGACTCATTTCAGCTTCCTCTGGCTCAGCTCGTGCCGTCCCGTATGCCACTGCTACGTATGCCACTGCTGCATGCCCGTGCTTAGCTCCGTGCCACTTGAGCTGGCCCAGCTGCAGCCCTGCGTGGTGAGGAGCATCCTGAATGAACGTCAGAGGCGGGAAGAATGACGAAGGATCCCCAGTGTCTTGTCTGGAGGGGCACTGTGGCTTGCACTGTTTTTAGGTCATAGATCTACTTTCCACATGGGGGAGTAACCGAGGGAGAAAGTCATTGCTTTGGAAAAATACCCCGAACAGTGATTCTGATCGAACCATCCTGGAGAGGGGAAACAGTGGACAAACCCCCAATGACAGGGGGCTGTATCTGATGGCTTGCCTCCCATACTGAGGCTTTTAGAGTTCAGGGGTGTTGGACATTTCGGTACCTCTGGGTAGCTGCCTGGCGATAGGGAGCTGAGCACCGCTGCAGTTTTGTTGCGTACTGAGGTCCCAGATAATCTCTGGGCTCCCGGCTCAGGCACAGCCCTCTGTAGTCAGAGGGGCCTCTCTGAGCTGTTGAGATGTCTTCAGTCTTCAGCTAACTGGCATGCTCTCTCTAATGACAACATACAGCGGACTAATGCTTGTTTTAGCAGAACCAAAGGACAAAGGGTGGAATTTTCCTAAAACACCTGAGGGATTCAGGAGCGTTCATCCTGCTGCCTTGTGCTGGGGCTGGTGCCTGTGAATCACTCAAAGGATGGCTTGCTTTCAAGCCCCGGTTTTAATCATGATGTAAATCACTGGCTTTAATCGCGTTTTGCATGTGCTCTTTGCGTTTGCACTTTAAAAAGAATTTTCCCTAGAGAAATGCTCGTTCTCACTGGTTAGTAACCATTAGGAGGTATCTATTTTCAACTAAGTGTAGCGTCTGCACTAAATTTAGTACTTGTTTTTGCTGATCAGGATGTTACACTGAACACTTAAGTGGCTTTATAGCTTAACAGACGTATGTTCAGACTTCATTTCTATGTTTTACTATGTTAAAAAAGAGGATTGATTATTTTTTAAACATGATGTGTGGTCAAGCTTCTTTTGGATGGAAATTTGAATTCAATTAAAATGCAGAAAACAGCATTTAAAAATGGTTTCATTAGTTAAATAAAACTATGTTAGTAGTTCTGGATGTATGAGCAAAAAAGCTGTTTTGCATCAGAAGTTAAGTGATTTATTAAACAAAGGAAGTTATTATCTATCATGAGGGAATTGAATGGATTGTTTGTGGTCATAATAGCCTGTAAGTTTTTAAAAGTAGTAGATCTTATCCTCACCCACCTAGTTTTAATTCGGAGATTGGAACTGAAGAGCAAGCATCACTGCTTTTTTAGTTCCCAATTGGTTTCTCAACTTTGACTGAACTGAGCTAATCTGAAATGAAGAAAATACTGTCTGTGCATCTGCAGGAAAGGTTACAGCTGCCAAAAGCTGGTTTATCAGCTCAGCAGACTCTGGTTGCAACTGTTTATCTGGTGACTTTTCCCTGTTCAGGAGTGTTACTTGATCTGAAATGTTGCAAGTATACAGATAACTGCTTGAGTATTCATTTTTATTTAGATTAAATCATCTTAAGAGGTTATGATAAGCTTATGTCTTAATGTAGATAGCCATAATTTCAAGATGAATTTTTTAAACAGTTGCAGAAGTATGTTTAGTCTTCCTTTCCAAAAGAGCCCCATGTATTTTGCAGTTTACTTGCTTACGTGCTGTGGTCACTTAGGTGCTTTCAAAAGCCCTGCAGAAGGCATGTTGTAGGAGTGAAGCATAACTCTGTTATCATTGATTAAAAGTGACCTCGCCTCTGCTCTGGTGGGGAGTGTTCTGAAACTGCCTACTGCTACCTTTTCTCCCTTCACTTTGGCATCTCTTATTCTTACAGAGAGCAGATCAAGAGGGTGAAAGACTCAGATGATGTTCCCATGGTGCTGGTGGGAAATAAATGTGACCTGCCAGCCCGGACAGTGGAGACCCGGCAAGCACAGGACCTGGCCCGCAGTTATGGGATACCCTACATAGAAACATCTGCCAAAACCAGACAGGTAGGAGAAAGGATAGTTTAAAGCACATCACTGCCACCTGCCAAAGTCTCTCTTGTGCTCCTGTGACCTGAGTGCTGTCCCAGAGAGCCCAGGAACAAACCCAGATTGCACATCAGCATTTAGCGTTGGCTGCCTGTGGCTGCTCTGTGGTGAAAGTCCCGCTGAGTTCTGTGGCCTCCTCCCCTCCCCTAGCAGCCAGCTCCCCTTCCTTCCTTGTGTGATGAGGCGCAGGGAGACTGCACGGATCTGCCAGCAGAGACATCTTGACTGACAGTGGCAGGACTGACACGCAGCCTTGTTGACAGAGCTGTGTCCATGGGCTGTCAGGCGAGGAGTGCTCCAGCTGCTTGTTCCCCAGCATGCTGTAAGTCTCTCTGACAGCTTCAGAGTGGTGGCAGGCAGGGAAGTGAGCGTGAATTAGAGCAGGCCAGCACGGATACTGATTTACACTGTCAAGGTGCTTGAAATGAAGCCGCCAGAAAGCCCAGCTCTGGAGCTGGCTGCTACCTTAACTTGTATGCAAGCTTTGCTTGATGGCCTGTGGAGTCTATTAAGTGATGGCACCGGGGAAATAAATTCATGTAGCAGGATGTCTGGGCGTCTCCCCAGGCCTCCCCTAGCTGCTGCCTCTGTTTTGGGGACTCATCTGCATGCAGCGCTGTGTCCCAGGACAAACCCATGAAGTGCAGTGTGGCAGGGTGTTCTCTGCTCTCTGCGTGCCTTGCAGACAGAGTCATGGAAGGGCTGAAGTTGCTTGCCTCCTCAAAGTGAAGTGCTCCAGCAGGACTGTGTAATTCACGCTTTGGCAGCAGCAGAGGGGAGAAGACTTTGCTACTTAATCTCGTGAGTCTGCCTCTGAACACCTTCCCCACTGCTGCACCGCCAGGAGCTCTGGCTCACAGTGTCTGTTGAGAAGGCAGTGTTATTCTGAGCCCTTGGGATCACCCAGTTTCTCAGCACCAGCCTTGCTGGAAAGATGGGGAAGGCTCAGACATGTTCCAGAGCTGGGTGAACCACATGCTGGCCCTGGCAGCACGGTTGCAAAGTGGCACAGCAGTTTTTCCAGCCTCTGTGCGTTTATCTCATACTTGGCATCCTTGGGTATTTGATCCACAGGCAGGCATGGCGATGGAGAATGCCACATGTGTGAGTTTGTATAATATTGTCCAGGTTCATGCAGAGCGTGTGCTGTCACTATACAGGAGAGAGACTTCCTTGTGGGTGAGGCTGCATCCCAGAGATGGGCGGCGCAACCCAACATGCACAACTCAAGCCCATTTGGCCTTTTCCTCCACCCTGTCCAGACAGAGGAGGACAGGGGAAGGCTAAAGGAGTACAGTGTTCTGACGTTTTCTGGTCTTAAATGGCTTTTGCCTTCTCAGGGCTTTCTCCAAGGCTCTGGAGTAGCCCTTGTATTCACTGCAGATCAGTTAAGCTCATGGGACTTGATTATTAACCTCATCTGTGGTCCGTTGTGGCAGACCTGTACTGGGGCAGGGAGGACCATGTGGGGCTCTCAGAGCCCAGAGGTGGAAAAGAGGCAGCAGATACCCTCTGTCATTTAGTGATGGCCTTTCTCTTGGATGGGGAGCTCCTCAGCCCAGCTGCCCACTGGCAGCTTCATGTGAGCCCAGTCTCGCTCACTATTTGGGACCATTCCTAGGATCCTGTTAGTCTTCTCGGCTTAATTTCATGCCTGTAACTCATTAATCTGCACCCCTCAAAAGACTCCATGCAGTTTTCTGTTGGCGATTTCTAGCTGGTAGGTGAACCCCTCTGTTCTCTCCGCTGTCCTCTCTCAAAGTAGGCAGCCAATTCAAGTAAAACTTGGTGTGTTTCTTCCAGGGCGTTGAAGATGCCTTCTACACCTTAGTGCGGGAGATCCGTCAGCACAAACTACGCAAGCTGAATCCGCCAGATGAGAGCGGCCCTGGCTGCATGAACTGTAAATGTGTGATATCGTGACTAAGGTGAGTTTTGGAAGCAGGTAACAGTGAGTTTTGGACAAGGTACAGTGGGAGCATGTTGGAAGCAGGGAAGGGGATAACTGCAGATGCACTTGGCTGCAAATAAATACGACAGAAGCTATTTCAGTGGCATGTATTTTTTAAATAAACAGATTTTTGATTGAAATAGCATTTTCCTTCAGAACATAGGTAGGTCAAAAATTTCCATTTTCCTGAGGAAATGTGTGGGAGGAAAGGGTTGTTTAACCTTTTTCCTCATTTGGCGAAACAAACTTTTGCGGAACACTGAAAAAAATAAATACTTTATCATACTTTCCCCAAGAAAGCTCCTTCCTATGTTGATCCTCCGAAAGAAGAGTTAAGCTGGTATTCAAAGTGTGCGGCTCACCGCACCTTCACCACCCTCTGGCCCTAAAATAGTTTAGAAGAAGAGATGTGTGACCACGTTGGCTCCTAACGTACTTGTGGAAACGGCATTGTCCTAAAACGTTGGAGCAGATGTACCTAACTGTGAAAGTCCTCTGTTCCTTACAAGAGTTTTCCCATTAAATATATCCCCTGCGATATTTGAAACTGATGCAGTGTTGAGAGTTAGCCATAAGGGGGCTGTTATGCCTTTATAAAACGTGCATATTGGAGCCAGAAAGGGTGTTTTTCAGAATGTCCAGCTTCGCTTGCCTGTATTTGCTCTTTTTCTTTTCTTGGTTTTAATAATGAGGGCGAGTTCCTATCAGTTGGTTGGCCTGTGTGCGCTAGGGGGCCTTAGGCCAAGCGTCCGTTGGTTTGCTTTTCACGTTAAAGGAACAACTGTCTGCCTAACTGGGTCCTTCTATGGCGGAAGGAGGAGAGAGGGAATTGGGGTTGAGTTATACCTGTAAGGGCTAGGAGAGGGGTGTGTAAGAAAAGCCTGCACTGCCACTGCCCTTGATGTGTTGTCCTTTGGATGGGGGAGTCTTCCAAACACTAGGACTGGCCCTTTATCCCTTTATACAACTGCTGAAGTCCTAGAGAAAAAAAGCCCATACCAGCTAGAGAGCCTGCTCAGAGGGGCATATTGAACATAGAGGTGGGCAGCTCTTTTTTCTCCATTACTTTTAGAGGCAAAGGCCACGAGCGCAGCAGAGCTCTTCCCAAAAAAAGAAATGCTGGCAGTGTTTGCTTCCTATAAACAAAAAACAACGGAGCACCACACCCCTCTGCTCCCAGCTGAGGAGAGCACAGGCCCAGGGCAAGCCAGGCGAGATCTCCCACAGGGGCTGAGCCGTACTCTGTGCCTAGCACACTTATCACTGCTAAGGGAGGTTTCCAGATGTTTGGATCACCCAGATGTTCAGGAGCATTTCCTCCGGATAGGGATGTGAGCTCGGGGCTCATTTCCTGCTCTGGCTCGCAGCTGAAAGAAAGTGGAGAAGTCCAGACTCTGCTTAGGCTGATTGTAAAGAAGCTGATCCCCTGTCAGAGCGAGAGAGAGCCTGGTGTCCGGCACCGGCACTGACCGTGCCTTGATATGGAGGGGCAGGGAGGGGGAAGGAATGTCTCGGAAGCTCTTCCCTCGGATTTTTAAGAGAGCATCCTGTGAATTACCCACATCCCGGCTGCACTGATGGGTCCTTTTACTGCTCCCTGCATTCACCGCAGACACTTGATTGATAGGAAAGCCAGTCTGGCTTAGCTGCCTGGGTGTGGGTGGCTCACAGAGGGATAGAGGGAGGAAAGTTTGTCTCCTCTCTGTGGAGCTGCAGTGCAAATGCAGTTCCACACAGAGATACAAAGGCATCTTCAGCGAATTACGCGGCCCAGGGCCATTCCCCCACAGTGGGCAGGAGAGGAGAAGGCTTGAGACCAGAGGAGTAAAATCAGAGCATTTTGCTTTGTTTTATCTCCCTCTGTGCAGGCCAAGGGCTATGCACAATCCTTTTCTTAGGGCGAGGCAGCCCCAGGAGGTGACTTTTGCAACTGGGCAGTATCAAAGGGAAAAGCTGGAAACCAGAGATCCCAGCTTCCTTTAGCTGCAGTGACCAGATAAGCACAAGAGCAGAGATGGGGGAACATCAGGACACGAAGGGAAAAGGAAGGCAAAGACATGCTGTATTTTGGAAAGGAGAGGGTGCGTGTGTGGCGAGGGGGCACAGAGTTTTGGGTGCTGCTGCTTGCCCTACTGTGGACTCCCTTCATGGTTCCCATCATCCCTGGAGGAGGGGGAAAGAGGTGAGCAGATTGTGCCCCTTCCCACGACAGGGCAGAGGTTTGAAAGGAGGCAGAGGGTCTTGTGAGGTACCTGAGACTCACTCATCCGTTACTCCACAGAGTACTTGCTTTTTCCCTTCAGTACATGTCCAGACACTTGGATGAGTCAAGGCCAGATTCCCAAAGCCTGTGGAGCCCTTTGCTTTCCCTCCATGGCTACTAGTGGGATTGTCCTGGAAAAGGAGGGAGGGCCATGGGAACAGCAACCACTGGATCTGAGATGAAATTGGTACTAATTAATGTCCTCCCCCTTCTTGTTTCAGCTGACTGGACTGTGACTTGGAGGGGTTTCCACTGTGCAGAGCGCAAGGAAAGAGGTGAAGCGAAAGAAGAAACAAATGGATTCAGGGGAGGAGTATGGGGGGGAGGAAGAGGAGGAGGAAGAGAACGGGGGGAGCGTGAGCCCCTCCATGGACTATCTCGCACTTCACCCAGGCCTGCAGCAAACGACTTTTTTTTTCTTTCCCCATCCCCTCCTCCTTTGGCCTCCTCCCATCCCGGCAACTGTACAAAGCCACAGATTGAATCACAGTAAATTATTATTTGATGGTCTCGACAAACCATCTTGGTGGCCGTGTCCTGCTTCAGAGGTTGCTGCTGACGGTGCTTTCGTGAGGACTATTTGTGGGCTGGTGGGGGAAGGAAGGCATGTGTGGCTCGAGTGAAAAGGGAAGATGCTGGGAGTTGCACGTTGTCTTCCTGGAGACAAACGCATTTTGAAAAGGTCTTGAGATGGGTGAAGATTGTCTGTTGGCCTCTGCGGCAAAAACTTGCTAAAGCTTCCTGCCAGAACTGATCCCTGCCAGCTGGTCAGAGAAAGGAAATGGAGGTGGCTGCTCTCTGCCCGGAAGGCATGGTGGCTTTCTGAGGAGTGTTAGGATCTGTAGATAAGTGCTTGCAAGAAGTAAAACCCAGAACTCTGATTGAATTAGGCCTTGTCTATGCTCTCTCCCAAGGATGCGTCCCACCAATATTCTACTTCACAGAGAAAGAGTTGTCCTTGCCTCCTGCGAGTTCCCCCCGATGTCCGTGCTCTCCTAAGAGCCCAGCTGAAACACTTTGTTGGCCCCTGAGTTTTGGCCAGGTGGAAGACTGCTGCCAGTCTGAACCTGTCCTCAGCTCTCCCCAGCTGCTTTGCCTTAGATGTAGTCTGTGTGGGATGTTTACGAGCTCAGATGTGATGCCTGGAAGAGAAGTATCAGGGAGGGGATCTGAAAGCTGTGTTCACCTGAGCTCGTGCCAGGTTGTTGTTTCCTTGATTTGTCTTCCCTGAACAGCTTTTCAGGCAGGGCAAAAAGAGGAGGGAAGCCTCTTTCTCCTTCCGCAGCATTGTGCAGTAATTTGGGATGAGGGGCCTTCTGAGAGGAGAACAAAAACTGACCCAAGTTGATGTGCTCAGCTGTGCTTTGAACAGCCTTTCAGTCATGGCTCTTCCCAGGCAGGCACAGGTGTCTCTTTTTGACATCATCCTCCTCAAGTTCTTAGGAGGCAGAATCAGGCCTATCTACTCCCCTCTAGCACCCAGCTAACAGACTGCTGAAAGCACATCACCTTTGAGCTTTTCCGGTCTGTCAGCTGCCTGTTGTGTTATGTAAATCCTTGTCTGTCCTTTGCATGGCTGAATTTACCTGTGAGCACACAGCAGAAAGGCTCTCCTTCCCTCTAGACAGTAACCTGGGTGCTCAGCAACTGTTGGCTAAGATTTGAAGGATTCAGATTTCCAGTCCTCAGATTTAGTGGGGGTAAGAATGTTTTAGACTGGGGTTAAGTCTGTTGGGAAGCGCTCCAGCAACTCATTGAAAAGATTGTTATATTCCTTTCTTGAAAAATTTTTTTTCCCTTTAGTAGCCCTCCTGCCTCGCCTGCTCCTTGGCAGTGTAGCTGTCTGTGACAGAGCTGGGTGTGTAGCTGCATCGCTCTCAGGCGTGCCTTTTGGGACCACATCCAGGTATCACATCTGCCCACACTGTGGTCAAATCTTGTGTCTGTGATCCAGCCCTCCCGTCGAGGCCAGGCTACGCAGCCACTTGCTGCAGCAGGAACTTTGCTCTTTTCCTCCCAAGCAGCAGGCGTTGCAGGAGCCCTCCCTGGTCTGAGACAAAATTCGTCAGGCAGGGGATCGCACAGGGGGCAAAACAGCACTGCGTGCGGTCTGGTCTCTGAGCCCTGGTTTTTGTCTGGGGTCAGACTGGGTTTTCCCACATTGCTTTCCCTTACAGAGCCAAGACAAGTCTTTGCGCTCAGTGCCTTTCCCTCTTCCCGTTATTCAAGGGGAGAAGCAACAAGTGCTGCTGGCCTTTATAAACTTCAGCTTCAGTGAACTGAGCAGGGCAGGGCTGTCACTGTGCGCTTGCACTGGCAGCAGCAGAGGCTGAATCCAAGCCCCAAGGGCCCTGTTGTGCTAAGCACCGCGCAAACTCAGGGAGGACGTTCCTGCCTGGGAAACATGCAAAACAGCCAGGGTGTGATGTGAAGCACAGTAGGCGTACTGTGCCTGGGCTGCCACTGCTAGGGTTCAGCCATACAGCCCACCCCAGCGTGGACGAGAACAGATAGAGAGAGCAGGATTGCTTTAGAGAGAAGCCCTGTTTTCATCATCTTTTGCACAAACTGCAACTCCCTGAGCCCTGCCCTGAGGCAGCTCTCAGTACTTAGATGGGGTTGGGCCGTGCTATGCCAGGCAGCCAGAGAGAAAGGAGAATCCAGCCCCCTACGCTGCCGCTTTCAGAGCAAGCCACTGACTCCTGGCCAGGGCAGCGTAGGGCCCTGCCACACTGAGCACAGATCTGCCCTGCCCATGGTGAGCTGCGCTTCTGGGAGCAGCAAGCTGGTAGCTCCTGCCCTACAGGGTTACAATCCCCAGCTCAAGGCTCAGTCAGGAGGAAAGCTTTGGGGGAGAGCTCCGGTTTCCTTGTGCCCTTAACACATACCCAGTAAAATCTGCACACAGCTGTGCAAAGTCTAGGGCTTAGGGAACCTTTGTGGAAAGGGTTTGCTTTGAGATCTGTTCTCCTTTCTTAGAATCCATGGAAGCAGCCTCTCATCCCTATGCTCTGTCACACTGCGCCACCAGCAAAATCAAAGCAGATGCTACTCGGAGTTGCTGGCTTGGCTTTTGGCCTGAGCAAGCAGTGACTTGCACTAACAGCCTACTTTTTGTACCCACCTTCCCCAAACCACTGTCAGCTGCAGGGCACATCACCTACCCTGGCTGCAACAGCCCAACCCCCAGTTCTTGCAGGAAAAGGGCTGCTCCCAACTCAAGTGCAAAAAGTTGCCCGAGGGAAGAGCTGCCCATCATTAGCTGGGTGCTGTTTCCAGCAGTGTCTGCACCAGTACTGCAAGAGTCCTGCAGTCCCTAAAGAGACAACGCAGTCTAGTGTTGAGTGGGGGACTGAACCAAATGGCTTCCGGAAAGCCTCCCAACCTACATTATTTCCAAGCTTCACGCTTGGAACAAGGGTTTTGTTCCTGACATTAGCACAACTGGGGGAGTTTGTGAAGCAAGAGCAAGGCAGAGGGTAGTATTGCTTAATCCTTCCAGAAAAGGACTAGAAGTCCAAGAGTTAGTGGCTGGGTTCTTTTGGGAACCCTTGCCTCCAGTTTTTGCACTAGGAGCCTGATACTATTTTGCTAGAATAGAACTATATCATCCTCCACTAGCTCCAGCCCCTCAAATGTATAAACACTGCAGGTGTTCAGATTAGTGGTAACATGCAGCGTCAGTATTTGGGTACCTATCAAGGACTGGAGTCAGGTAGAAATTGGAACTGGAGACTGCAAGCATCTTCAGAAGGACTGGCTGATAGATAGAGCTTTGAGTTTGGCAGATTGCAGAGCAAATCTCATGTCTTTGGTGGATTGCCCAGAGCACCCTTCAGAAGCAAGGTAGCTGAGATCCTTTATCAGCAATAGTGCCGGTCAGTAACATGGCCATCTTCTCAGGAGCAGGGATTCACTCCTAGAACAGGAAGCAGCATTTGTTAGCTTGTTCACTGTACTTAGAAGATGACAAAGAACCCTGACTCGGGTGGGTCAACAGTAAAGTCCATGCTGAAAGCTGGGGATAGGCTAGGAGCTAAAGGAGGTGCTAAAAACTTGACACAGCAGCTCTTCACCTGAGAGGAAGTTGTAAGACTGCAACTTTATAACCCTACATCTTTGTTCCAGGAGGTTAACTTCAGTCTGAACAGCCAGCAAGGCCAGCTTCAGGAGAGTCGAGATAGACATTTGATGCCCCAGTAAGACCAGTCAGCTGTGATTGGTGTTTGAGGTAGGCAAAAAACCACCCCGGACCCTGTGGCTTCTCTCAGTTGGAGCTGTGAATTTGAACTTGTTGTTTTCACTTGTCAGCTTCACTTGGATGACAAACACCAGTAGTCTGGGTCAATACAGCATAGCGGCTTGCTAGTCATGACACGCAGGATGTCAGTGTTATTTCATGTGTTGTCAGGTACTTCTTGCTAGCTGAATTTCTTGAACCTTGGAATAGTATCAGGGTCATAGTTTCATTAGAGTGAAGGCAGGTCTGGAGAAGGAATTGCTGAGTTCAGCGTCAGTTTAGGAATTCTTCCTAGAACATAGGTATTTAGGTGCATATGCTCTAGGAATACCTTCACTGGAAGCATTTTTCAGATATTGCAACAGTTGAAAGTTTCCTTTATGGCCAGGAGTTTGCTTCCAACTCAATTCCACTTTTGCAGCATACGCTTAGGTGAGCAAAGCCTGCAATTATCCTGAAGAGCAGCTCCAGTTGTGTGGCTGGAAGCTGCCTAAGTCCATAGAGGTAAGGATATTGCTGTATTTGGGCACTTCAGCTCTCCTGTTCAGCTACAGTGAGTGCTTTAGCTGGTCACGGCAAGGCTGGACTGAATTCAGTGCTGTGATGCGAGTCTTGGGCAAGTGTGAACATCACCTCTGAGAGGGCGTCAGACACTCAGGTACTGTGCCGATTATCTTTTGAGGCTGCATCTCCTATGATGGAGGAGGGCCCTCTTTGAGCCTGTTCTTGTATGATGGAATAGATGAAGCAGTCTGGCTTGGTCTGCTCAAATTCAGATGTCTCAGGACTGACATCAAGCTTCTCTCCCACATCATTCAAGCACCTCACACCCTATTACAGGGAGGTTAAAGTTTCAGAGAGATCACAGCTGAGTCAGCTGACAAAGTTGCTCACAAGTCTTTAAAGATGCTGATTAAGTGCTGGAACAAGTCTCATGCCTTTCGGTCTTTAAGGGCTTCAACAGAAGCATTTTCTTGAACCAACAAAGATCCATCAGTTGCTGGTGACTCCAGAACAGATGAGTGCATGGTACTTGCTGTAGGCTTTGCAGCAGCTGGGTTGGGTTTGAGTTTGCAGGAGCAAACGACTCATTGCTGACAGGAGACTTGCCAGGTGAGGGGCATAGCTGAGACGCTGAGGTTCACAGAGCAGCCCTGCTGGCCAGGCTGAGGGCTGGCCCTATGCCTTCTTGCTTGCAGTTCAGTTGGGTAAGGAGAGGCAGAACAGGCCTCCCCTCCATGCTATAGTCCAGTCCACCGCTACAGGTCTTTTCAGCCTG